GAAAAAATCTGGTCATAAAGTATGAGGCTCTCGTGTTATTATATTATTGTGTTATAAATGCCCAGGTCTGGCCTTTGATCAAGAACAACGCCACTGCAGTCACCAGAGAGGTCTTCCAACTGATCTGGGGGTCCAAGATGGATTGTGTCCGCAGAGACATGATGCATAAAACCCCAGAAAAGGGGGGGGAAAGGGGTTCCTAACGTAGCCCTGATACTCAGGGCCACCTTGGTGTGTAGTTGCCTGAGATTATGCCTGGAGCCCAGCTACGCCAGCAACAAATGCCGCTACATGCTAAGCTTCTACCTGTACCCAGTGCTAAGAATGGTGTGTCTGACAGAACTGCCTTGAAACGTTCCACACAGTTGGAGCCGAACCACCTATCCTATGTTGAGCAATTCCTGAAGATCACCATCTCAAACCTCCGCGCAATCACCGAGTAGTCCGCGCGACAGGTAGTAGAAACAGTTCAAAGCGGGGAGAGGCAGACCAGATCAGGAGGTGCCCTTAGGTGATGGCCAGCTATGTCTGGCAAAACACCTCATCACCGGCCCTGACCCAACAACCATCAGGACATGGACTGGCCGGTGATAAAAGGAGCCCCTCCCCCTCAGGGCCTTCATGCACGGTCAGGGTCTGGGCCAGTCAGCACGTTGCCCTCGGGCCGGCTACAGAGACCAGGAGACCATGGACCATCTTTTCCTGGAGTGTTGTTTTGCAAAGGTGGTTTGGAAAGAGATGGAATGGATTCTCTTGCGGATCATAACATAACATAACATGTAGGAGCAGGAGTAGGCCATTCGGCCCTTCGAGCCTGCCCCGCCTGGGGACCCACTGTCATGGCACTCGGTGCGGTACGGCCTCTTCCCAGGCACCCACAGCGAAACTCATATCAAGTGTGCCTGGAGGATCATAAACTCGGTAAAGGAGGGTCTTTGACACTCCTGAAACCAGCTGTTCTTCTGGCAGAACGAGGGGACGGTGAGGGCCTGCCTCAGGCTAGGATCAGGGACTATATACTGAGGGACAAGCCGAAGTTCAGCTCAACAGCGTCAAAGGCCAGATGGGGCCTGACCCCGGCAGGAGCCTCTCCGGCACAACCCGCTCAGGGCTCACCCACCGGGTAGCCCACGAGCACACTCAAAACTGACTGAAGTAAGGGTACAGAAGGAGGCTCGAGATGCAACTAAAGAGCGTCCCAAAAATGTATGTACTGTAAACATGTGCGTGTACGGTGCACATCGGGTCACCTTCCGAAAGTGGCAAATGCGCCTTATCGGTATGCACGAGCACTGGGTCGACTCCCGATTGTTAAAGAAAACGTCCTAAAAAATGTGTGCACAACCTCTGTGCGATGATGGAATATATCATAAACATCTGAATATTTTTTGTATCGGGAGAAAGGAAAAAATTTGTAACAGAAGATGTTGTATGTTGTGTTTGTTTTGGAATTCTGTTGTATCGAATATTATGTTTGTAAATGAATATATATTTTCAACAAAAAAGAGCCAGGAAGCAGATCAGATTTGGTGAAAATGTAAAACCTTAAAGAGAGGAGAAAAATTAGAACTTCAGCCTTCAAAAAAAATCGTTGTTGATTTATAAAGATCTAAAAAGGATAGAAAATTCATATCCAGAACAATACTTTCAGATACATCAAGGGAGCAGGACAAGAAATATCATGCTTTTAAGGACCAGACCCTGAAATATTTATTTGTTTAGGCTAATCAACAGCCAACATGAGTTATCAGGAAGGGGGTCAAGCCTAGGAGACTGGACTTGTTCAGGAAGCAACTTTGCCATTGGAAGACTTTGTGTACTGTAACCTTCACGTGAACATTTCTAATGTTCATCTTTCTCTGATCTATAACTGTTCCCTAGAGTATCCACCTCGAGGATCAATTCACTCCTATTTTTAAAAGTAATTTGATCCATTTTAAAAGTGGAGGGGGATGTATTTTGTATTTTCAAGGTCAAGATAATTTCTTCTACTAGAAAATGTATTTAAACTTTTGTTCTCAAAGGTCAATCTTAGGGCTTTTGTTAACCCAGCTCCTTGCACTATATTTTGGTCGCGTAACTAAAACAATGTGTCAATATCATTCATATATTTCTGTGGCTCAAGATGGGTGGTATGATTTATGTTCCCAGTGCTTCAGACCTTGCATAATTTTCTTGGCTTATATTCAAAACAATAATTGTCAGACAAAAGCAAAACAAATTAGATAAGCTTTTGTATCTGTATGGTCTTTGTGCCCTCAAACGAAGATATTGGGATTTTAAGAGTTACCAATTCTTTTAAATGTAACGTCATTAATCTGTTGGATCCACACTCCGTATTGTATCTGTTGCAAATTTCCAATATTGAGACTTACTCTGTTCCTTTGTGACCTTGACCAATGCAGCTCATCCCTATCTCTTGGTATTTTCTAAAATAGACACACTATCCTATTGGCTCAGTGATAACTAGATACATTTCTTTAACTTTCTTTAATAAAAGAAGAATTCAATCACAAATCCAGAAAAAAAACTGGCCCCAGCCACAGGCGACCGTTTACATAAAACATATCTGCCAGATTCCTGGTGAATTAACTTACTCTTCACATTATTACTTGTAAATTAAAATTAAATGTGATTTTGCTGTGTACACATCTCTTGTCTTTCTGAACTCTGCATCTGTGATATTGAACAAATCGCTTGTCATGGACTAATATTAATTCGGATTGCCAACAGCTTTGTGTATCCTAATAGCAGAATGTTCTTGCCTAACGATAACCTCCTTGTTGGACCTCCTTTCAGATCACCAGCAATAAATACGTCGATGAAGCACACATAAATTCATTCAAATACATTTTTGGGGACACATTTACCTGGTTTTTGCTCCTGGTAGCTGACCAGTGATCTAGGAGGGAGAGAGAATAAGAGAGAAAGAGATTCTGATGTGTGGGTGTGTCTATATACACACACATATCACATATGGCTGGGCAAACCATTGAGAGCAGCATGGGTCATATTACAGCATGGGCTGTAATATTGCTCCTGCCTCATGCAGTATAACAACAACAACTTGCATTTATATAGCGCCCTTTACTCGACATAGTGTCTGAGAGTGCTTAACATTGGTAAAGCTTGACGCCAAGCTGGGGAGAGCGTAAGGTGACCATAGGCACAGTCGAAGAGAAGGGTTTTCAGATGTGATTTGAAGACGGGCAAGGTGGAGGGATTGAGGCAGAGAATTCCATAGTTTTGTGGCATAGTGGCAGAAAGCACGACCAGGGGAAGGGGTTGAGGCAGCAGATTGTGGACTTCATGTGGGTGATGATGGTTGGATGATGGTACTAACTTCAGGAGAGAAAAGGAAAAAAATTGGAAGAAGAAATCTTCTGCAAAGTAGAAGAGTTGGCAATGATAGTTAAAAGTGTATTTTACTTCATGAAATAGTTAACAAGTTAACACACCATACACGTGTGTTTGCAATGCACAAATGACTTTTGTCATCTACTCGTCTTACTCTTGATTGCTAACAGGAACCCCCCGCTGCTATGGATATGTTTTGGATATTTTATGATGGCCAAGAAGTAGTGATAACGAAAGATTGATGAATCATCTTGAGGACTCATTCATTTGTGGATGATTGCTTCAGGGCTTTACAGGCAATGAAGGTCTTAGGTTTGATTTGTGTTGCCTGGCAAGATAATCTCATCTAATGCAGCAGTTGAGGTTGCAACAATCTTGGGTTTAGAACAGGAGAGATTACCAGATATCCTATTTTAATCACTTGTTCTCTTATCCTCTGTCAACTATGTAGTTGAACAACTTGCTGTTACTCTGCTTCATGCATGAAGAATGACCAGCTTGGTAGAGCTAGAGGTTATTGCTAGTGCTCATGCAACTGTATCCACAGCATGAGTTATTACCTTCAGCACATGTGCACACATACACATAATATACAGAAAGTGACATCAGCAGCGACACAATAGACTTATTTTAGCTCTTCATTTATAACATGGCCTCTGAACTATTGAACTAAAAGAATATATTATTATGAGGTTCTCTTGTATCAAGTCCCTTTTTCATAAAACTTCAGAATTGATTTATTTTGAAAGCAGCAAGGAAACACTTCAAATCATCATCAGTTAATTGCTAATGAATTCCACCAATTGCACTTCAAAACATTTCATGAGCCCACAAATTATTATTATGCAGTAATAAGTGATTGAGCAGGCTAATGTTTTGGGATCAAAGGTATATTGTAGCTCCATGGTGCAAATCCATTGGTTTTGAGAATATACTCGTGTTTTTCTTGAGATTAAGTAACTACCTATCACAAATTGCCGTGAAAGCAGTTGCTAGAACTAGCTGCACGCACTCATATTACGGTTTAAGGTGTAAATTAAGTGATGCAACTAAAACAGAATTGTATTGCAGCAGCGAACAGTAATGATGAAACCTTTGTGAATAACCAAAACAAGTCACTTGAAACATTGGGGACTTCAATCCTGGAACTTTTGTGCTCAATTTTCATTTATTTTGTAAATACATTTTGGATGTGGCCAGTTGTTCTTTAATTATGTGAGTATGATTACAACTAAATGAGAAATTATGGGGGCGAGGGGGTCAAGAAGAAAATTGTGTTTGGACCTATTGCTGAAAGTACCCAATTCGAAAATGTTTAAGGAGCCATTTCTATTCTAATATTTCACATAAATTATTGTGAAGTGCTCTTGATTTGAATTTCAGTGATGATGTCTGAAGTTATGGTTTCCTCAGACTATTATGATGGCACTACAAAACTCTTTACAATTAACAACCTCCTATGATATTTATCTCATTTCTTACTCTTAATATTCCTGTGTTTAATGTGTTCCTAGATGGATTTATTCTCTATCTTGACAAATATTTCTTGTATTGAATAATTTAGGAGAGACTGTGCCATCAGACTTTTATTTAATCTCAAAGACCTGAAAGAAATCTTAATATGGTCTATCTTGCTCTTGCAGGTAATATTCAAGGAGCAACCATAGTAGATGCCTTAGACACATTGTACATTATGGAAATGCACGATGAATTTAAAGAAGGAACGGAATGGTTTAAGAAGAATTTTGAATTCAATGTGGTAAGTAAAGCTCATATTCATACTTGCATGTGAATGGAACTGGTCATAAATCTGGTCTGTCTCTTTAATCTACCCTGCAGACAATCCTTGTAATTAACTGTACTGTGAATCTGAGTTAATAATGTAAATAAGTAAAGACTATCCATCAGTAAATGTACTATAGTGTTGTTAACTATTAGTTTACTTTACAAACACTTTACAGAACACCTCCAATTGAAATTGTTAAGAATTGTAAACTTAATGTGTGATCATTTATTTTGATACATATGATAAATGCGAGTGCAGAGTTATGTTTGGTTGATTTATTTTTTGGTCAGCCGGGTGTCTGACATGTGTGGAAACGCATCGCCATGCTTAAGAGTATCCAAACCAAGGTGAGACTTTCATTCATCCCACTTAGACATGGAAATTCAAGAGATGTTTATTGGAATGGAATGTGCATCCTTCTTATCTAATTCCGAAAAGTATTAGACAAGAGCCATGGTATTATGTCCCTCAAGTGTACATTGGGGTACTGCTGGACCATCTAAAACCACATAGCTTGCCATCAAGAGCACTGCCTGTCAAGCTTTCCCGCAGTTTGTCCAGCTAGGATCACCCTACAAGTTAAGACTTTGACTTTCAGGGTTAACAGGAACTGAGGGGGATTATTCCCTGCCCTCAGTGACTGTCTGTCCTTCCAAGTCCTGCCAATGTATAGGTTGTCATCAGCACTGCCCTGGAATACTGCGTACCCACCTGGTTTGGGAACTACCAAGGGTGGGCTCGATTCTGACATTCCATTGGCAAACGTGTCACTCTGGATCCAGTTCAGCTACAAGGAGATCCCACATACTGGTTGCTGTATTACAATTGCACCTTGCTATAAATTTATAAATTCTAAACTCCAGACTATTAGTTAGTCCACTAGTGGCAGTAAGATTCCTCGAAATTCAAGCACTGGCAAGACATTAACACAAGTGAAGGACGTTATATAAATTCAAGTTGTTGTTGTTCTGTAAATAGCCATTGTGGAGTCCTGTAGCTCAGTGGTTAGAGCACTCGCCTCGCAAGCCTATATTTGATTCCCGGCAGGGTGAAATGTTGGGCAAGTTTCCTTACTCCACATGCCTCTGTTTACCTAGCAGTAAGTAGGAACCCGGTTGTTAGTCGATTGATGGATCGCTTTTCAGGAGTAATAATTCCTTCAAAAAAAAAAAATTGGTCATTTCAGTCCATGACTGTTTGTGGGACACTGCTGTGCGGAATTGGCTGCCGCATTTCGCCCACAAAATATACAGTCAATTCCCTTTGCAGTAAATTCTGTGAAGCACTTTGAGATGTCTGGAAGACATGAAAAGGTGCTATTTCAAATGCAAGGATTATTATTATTATTAATCTTGTGCAACATAAACTGATGGCCTTTCGCATAAACCTTTTCAGGGAAATCCTTTATAAACACCCACCCAGTTTTAGTGTGAGTTCACTTATAGTGCTGGGGTCCTATGGACCTGCACTAACCGACACACTACTTCTGGCACCAACCAGCTAGTTTTCCATAAAATGGGTGAAATTTCGGTTGTCAGGTTACACCAGTTTTTACACATTACACAGGGTTAGGGTTAGGGTTACAATGATGTCAGTTCCTATGTGAAGTGACATTCGTGGCACTTTCTGAGCATAGACATGGGCATAGGAAGCGCTACTAACTGCATCCTGTACATAACACATGAAGCTACACTGTGAGTGATGTTAATTGTGCACTGCACATATGTTATAGGTGCAGGAAGTGACAATAGTGGAGCTCCTGTACGTAGCACGTAACATGCAGGAAGTGACGTCAGTGGCAACCTGAAGAACCGGAATTCAGCCATTTTTCCCCACTGTTTCCATTGCAGCCTCTCAAAGAATGAACCCAGATAACCGCATTATAATAAGGTTATCCTGTATTTAATAGAGCATGACATTTACTGGTTAAATGTTACATTTTCTTTCATGAATTCTCTTTCATATGTTGAGAAAAGTATTTATTTGTAATTGCATTGTGTCACTTCAGTTAATGAAGTTTGGGCAGATCNAAAAAAAATGACAGGATTAGTGCTGTAGAGATCTTTCTTGTTGGAAACTGCGTAAAATAATACATCTCTACTGCACTGATTGGCTTTTACTCTTCCTGAATAAAAGGTAATGAGCTCAAATATAGTTTTTCAGAATAATAAACAATGAAAAATATAAGGACTGTTTCAAGTCATTAGGCCATCCAGACAACATTAAAACAAATGCATTTTCTGATATTTAAAAGTAAATCCTCTTATCCTGCTCCCCCTGCTGTTTTGCATTTAAAATCTCACCACAAAGCATTTTTTAAAAAAAGATATAAATGGAATGCTAATTTGTGAAAGGATATTTGAACATCTTGCAGAACTCATTGATAGCCAGATTGATTAATGAAGTTTTCACTCGTTAATTACATTGATCACCTATTTATACTGCACCTGAAATTGCTGTGTGCCTAAATTGATGCTTAAAACACATAAATAACAAACTGTTCACAGTTGGCGAGCTTGAAGTAATTTATGTTGTTGGTTGGCTGCTGAAGGCAACCTTGAATTGGTGGGTTCCACATGAAATCTCCAGGATGTGGAGGGTTGTGAGGGATTTTACTTGAACTCTTTCTTTTGTGTATTAGATTTCCAGACCTGACCTAGGGCGATCCGATGTCATGGCACTCTGTGCTGTAGGGCCTTTTCTTAGGGATTCACGGAGAGACCAACATCAAATGGCTTGGAAGGTCATCAACTTGGTGAAGGAGCCCCTTTGGGACTCCCGAAACCTGATGGTCTTCCGACATGACTACGTGTCGGTAAAGACCTGCTGCAGACTCGCGATTGCCAGAGTCAGGAAGTATGTAATGAGGGTGAAGCTCAGTTGAGGCGAGGCAAAGGTCAGATGGGGTCTGACCCCGGCCAGAGAGACTCCATGCTAGGTGCACTTACATTGGTATCACCTCCCGGCACGACAGGGTACCTACCCAGTGATGGGTTTAAATGTAGGGTTTGTAGAAAGGGACGCTCGCTTTGTAACAAAAGAGCATTCCAAAATGTGGTGTTATTGTGTGTGTGTGTATATATCTAGAAGCATGTCCCCATAAAGGGGGGAGTGGTGTAGTGAGGAATATTGGCTCTCCATCTGGTAAGTGAAGGATAGCAGAGCTGGGACTAGCCCAAAAATGCAACTGCTCTCTGTAGCTAAAGGCAGCAGAACACAGGAGCGAGGGGGCCCTGGTCCCTCCACTCGAGGAGAGGATGAGACAATAGAGGCCATAGCAAGGAATCGGATACCATTTGTAATGGAATTGAAGCAGTTGCATATTTTTTGTTACGGGTGTTTTGNTTTTTCCTTGATGCAAGCAGAATATGTGTTTTCTATGTACAGTAATTAATATCTGTTTGGAAAAACAAGTGGAAGGGGCCATTGTGGATTGTAACAGGGTTGAAGCCGTTGTTTTTCTTTTTTCTGTCATGGGTGTGTTTTTTCATGAGGAAAGTAAAATATATTTTCATATGTCAATAAATACATTTGTACAAAAACAACTGCCGTAAAGTCTTGTCAAACTTTAAGCTTGCTGAACCAACCGAGTGCTACTGATACGATTGTCGAGTGAAACTTCTGGATCTGTGTAATCACTGTGTGGTGGGGGGGAGTTTATAAGTACTTACATTCTTAAACATATCTTGTTTTATAATTCTGCTTTATTTGTCATTAAAAGGCAACATTAACACACAAATGATCAAATAAAAACACATTAAAGAATAATTTTCCTCCAATGCAGTCTATAACTCTGATTAAAACTGAAGTAATTTTGCTGAAATCTGAGAGGCTGTACATATGTGCCCTGAAGGAACTGGAAAAATGAAGAGCAATGCTCCAGTATAAACAAACCTTTGAACCATGCTGAATTAATATTTCAATTGTATCACATATTTTCGATGAATATACTTGGCTCAAATGGAATAGCAAGATGAATCTTATATTTATGTTTGCATTCGAGGTAATTATTTTAAGATAGGCCTTAGTTTCAAAACACAACTGAGATTTTACAATCTGTGAAGTTGAACATTAATTAATGGTAATTAACATGAAACATGTGGCGAATGCAATTAAAGAGATGTGGTGGTTAGTAGAGTGAAGTGTTACTTACAATGCAGCATACAGTTCAGGAAAATCAGTAAACACAAATTGGGAAAATAAATACTACATATATATTACACTAGCTGTACACTTGCAATCAAAGAATCCAATTTGGAATGTAGATTGGCACATGACAGACATTTAATCTTTATACTCACCTGGGAGGACCCCTTTTGGGAGTACTCAGTGGGAGGACTCGGCGCTTTAAAAATATAATTTTGTTGTGTCTTTATTTTGTTCCCGCTGCTTGGCTATGGGCGTGATGTGACGCAGGATGCCACAGCGCCATGGTCGGCCAGCGCATCCACCAGGTGTAACTGTAGTGTGTGTGTACATACGTAGGTGCTCTGTGACGCACCATGCCATGGCGGCACTTTGACCCGGTGGCCACCAGGTGCAACTGCCAGAAAAACACAAAACTGAAAATAATTCATGAACAATAGGAGATACCCGCAAGCAAATATGCCCATGTCACTCCCAGATACAAGACCTTTTCCAATGAGGTAGAAATCATGCCTCTGTATCAATCGGTTATTGAGATCCTTCTTGAAGTGCAGACAGACATTGTCATTTTATTAGTATAAAAAGATATAGGATTTAAAATATCAAACTGAAGTTGACTTAATGGTTGCAATCAATTTTTTTTGGTGGAAACCACACGATCATAAAGTACAAGAGTAAATGTGGGGGTTACAGGGACAGGCATCTGCTATTGTTGCAGCTGCCTGGTTTAGTTTGTCAACTGAACGGGAAGGGAGGAGTGGTAGCGTATTCTTGCGTTCTTGTATACTGAAGCACATTGTATCTTGTTAACCCTGAAGTCCTGATTC